TTCTCAGACCCCCTGGACTAATTACCGAGGTGCCATCTCCACCAAAACCCCCCCAAACTTCCCTTTAGCCCGGCCAGCGCGTAGTTCTTCCGCGATGCACCTGCTGGCCCTAGTTTTCTCGTGGTGATCGCACGGTTCAACAGTGCAGTGCCCGCGAAGCACCGTCCCTTGGGACCTCGGGACTCATTGGTGGCCAACCTCCAAATCGTCCCCATATTTGTGGACCAAGATGGAGCGTGGAAGAGATGCAGCGACTTCTTGTATAGTACTCTTCCGTACTTGGTATATAGATGTATATAGTACGCCTCCATGACTCACGCGTACTTGGTATATAAATAAATGTATATATTCGATGTTGTATATAGTCCCTGCAAATCCTAGCGTCCAATAGTGTCCGACACAACAGACGCACATGAGCGTGCGCAGTGTAGGTCTTCACTGTGGGACCTGCAGACTTCCTGATTACTAAGCTTCAGCGAAGGAACGCGGTATCCGAAGACGAGCCGAAGATGAATCCCATGTGGCCTGAAGGAAAAACACGCTGCACAACGCGTCACGACCCAGCCCGGAGTATTGAACTTCATTGGCAACAACCCACTCACATCCAGGCCTCACCAGCACATTTGGCTGACACTCCAGAATTTGTTTGCCATCACATGTCCTTTCAGTAAATTTGACATACACTGCCCGAAATCATCATCATAGAAGTGAAGTTCCCCACCTGTTTGGCATTCGGATTTCAGGGTCATCCGAAATCGGGGGTGGCTGCGGCGGCTGCCATCCACTTCCAGCATGATTCCAGGGAGTGCGCTATAATTGGCTGCTTAGCACTCTCAAACCTCCCCAGACCAAAAAGAACAACTGGTGAAGCAGTTTCGATTCTGTCGACCCGTTTCCCGGCTCCACGAGTTGCCATCGATGATGGAACATACCCTCACATGTGAAAACCACACGAAAGCATATCAAAGCCACGATGGGTGTCATTCCAAACAATCTTTTCCCAACCGACGTCAACTGTTGAATTCTTGTTACTTGCTTGTTGCTTGTTTTTCTTGGCGGGTATTGGATGTTGAATGATGTCTTTGTGGCTTTTAATGTTACATGAACCAACCTGGTCGGCGACACGGACCCAGAATGACCCAGATCTCAGGTCCAAGGCCTCCGCTGCAGCCTCGGCCCCAGCGCCCCTCTCGACGGCCATGTGCTGCGTGATGGCCCTGCAGCTTGGATTGGATGTTGAGGACCCAAAGTCAACCATAAACCGCCAATTCCCTGAATCAGCCAACTACAATTTCTGGAATCCTCATGGAAGTGGAGCTGTTTTATTTGGTATTCGCAACATGGTCATCCGAAATCGGGGCCATACTACTCCACGTAACCATGATTCCAGGGGGGAACAACCCTCCCCACAGAATCCCAACACCATCGGACACCGACGTGATAGATTTTTTTCCACTAAAAGCCATTGGAAGTAATACCCCCCCTTGCCTGGTACACCGATTCCCCTTGGTGATTTAGAACTCATTTTGGTCCAGCTCTGAAGTCCCAAGATTCAGTAGGCACTGAGATCTATCATTGAGATGGTCCTTACCGTGAATCTACGGTACGTGAGCAGACGATCATGAAATTGTGCTGCAGCTGAGCACAATTTGACCAGCTCCGGCGGTAGATCCCACAGATTGGTGTGCTTTGGTGCAGGATTGTCTTTTATACGTATAAGGGTGGCCTAGAGATGTCTCCTTCATGACTTCACTCTTTTCCACCCAGATATGCGATCTCAGTGTCTCTGACCTATTCTATGGAAGGTGGATGAGAATCAGAATGAGACGTGATCACTAGCCCCAGACCTTGCCGTACCCCATGAAAATCTCCCTCCGATGGGGTCGATCAGACACATGGTGTGATCGATGCAGCGGTACGTAGGGCGATCTCCACCAACAGCGGCCGAGGACAGTGGTCTACTTCCTCACTTACCTCTTGGTGATGGCCGGTAGCCCCTTGCCTTGGCGTTTGTGGGGCGAGGTCTCGTTCCAAATGGGGTGGCCATCGGGGACGGGAAATGGCCCTAAGACTGTGGGTTTGGCCAGGCTCTTTGGGTGCGTTGCAGGCTGAGATTGGCCGAGAGGGATTACTGGTTTGCTGTAAATGTTTTTACCTGCTCGATGTTGACTCCTGTTATTAAGCCGTTTGTACACTCCAGGTTTTAAGGCTCCAGAGTCATCATGAAACCACAAAGAGAGCTCTAAGGTCTTAGGCACCTTCGGGGCACCTTCGGTTTGTCGTCCCAAACATGCCGCATGTGATCGCCTTGATTTGGGGTTAGCGTTTTCAGCGTCCATCAGACTTCAACCTGAGACCTGCAGGGATTTGTTGCTTCATGTTCCGCTGCAGGCCTTTTGCGTCAATTCTTTGGCACTTGGGCGCAGTCCACAGCCACTGGAGTGCAACGCGCACTGGCGTTTGCTCCCATGCTTTGTGTGATGATGATTGGTCGGCCAACTCAGTGGGTTTTGACACACGATCGCGTGCGGTTGGAAGTAGCCCGTCGGCGACAGGTTTGGGAGGTCATTTTGTGTTTTCACACTGGAGGCTTCTACAGTTAGAGGAAAACCGTGCGCCTTCCATGGAAGAGGTCAGATTAGGGAATCTGAGGTTTTGATGTGACTAAAAAAAGGCATCCCAAATCACAGATCCAGAACTTGTATTTGGCCACACTTCGTTATGGAATGTTCCTGACACTGCTCATGGGTCGATTTCAACTAGTAACTCTCACATACTCTAACCCTTGGACCTTCTATGACCCTCTATATCTAGCAGGGCTCCGCATGCTCCAAACCCTTCGCGTCTGTGGCACGGGCACCGGAGTTCCACGTCAGGCGTGCGCCTGCGAGCCATGCAAATCGGAGTGCGCGATCCGCCGTACTGGGCGCAAGTGTGCATGGTGGTGTGGAAGCTCAGGAGCGAACACGTGAGGGTCAAGTAGTTTGGAGGAGTGCTCTAAACCGTAGAAAGGTAGAACTTATGTCAGCCTGGATTGAAGAACAAGAAGGTGAAAGAGGATCACGAATAGGTATATGATAGGAATTGCTGGATGTGGCTGGGCTCAACTGTTGATCTCGTAAAGGTGCACTCTCCGGAAACACATCCTTCATGTCGACGCTTCTGATTCGCCAAGACCATCTCTGAACTGATTTGGGTGGTGGGCCCCAGGTCCGGCCCAAACAGACAGGCCTAAAGCGGCCCGCGCTCAGGTGGCGACCGGTGCTGTGATCACGCAAGTGAGCTGCACCATTCTCACGGAGAGCGAGTCGGGTGCCGGCATGGTCGACAAGGCACGTGGTGAGCGATGGTGAGCGCAGTCGAGCGGTTTATCGAGCGGTCGGAGTCCGGAGATGAGAGCGCCGGTCGAGATGAGATGTTCACCAATGGGGAGAGGGGGGGGGATGGCAATGGACAGTCCTGGAGCTGCCACGAAGCTGCTCAGGATGCTGCCACGAAGTTGATGCTGCTTCTACTGCTGGGATTGCGATATGCAGCGGAGCTCAGAGTTTGAGAGTTCGAACGGATGAAGCCTGTGGAGGTGGCATGACCCAGGACAGTGAGAACTGTGGAAACTGTGCAAACCTTCCAAGATGGGGCCCATGGATTTGTGGTGTTGATCAAGGCCAGTGCAAATTGGACATGGACATCCTATGACTGTTGAACCAAATCCCACCTCCACCTCCGCCGCGTGCACCGTGCACCGAGGCCGCCTCAGCTGTTCTCTTCGTCAGCGTCGCTTCGCTGATGATCTCCTTGGTGTCTCGGACGAGCGCCGAGGGGTCCGATCCACAGGGGGGATGACCCACGATCGGTCAGGGGTCCAAGGACCGAGGAAGACCAGCAAGACGACCAGCTGGAACGGAAGACGGAAGAATGACGCTCCCGAAAACAAGGAATATGGGCCCTGAGTAGACGGTTTTTGTAAAGAAAAACCAGGACAAATCGAGGGAATTCCTCACCTCCCGGCTGGGCTGACCTGCTTGGCAGCTCAGCTATGCGGGAAACACTCCTCAGCTGAAAAGCATCCCTCCTCTGACGCCGAGTCGTAGGACTTTTGCTTTAGTCCCATGGGATGGCCTCAGTGAAGGTGGAGCGTCCTAACCTCGATCCAGCATAAGAATATTTAAGATCAACGGATCATATACGTGTTAGTTCAATTAAGTTATATATTGATGTTACTATATAATGATACTAGATGATACTAGTAATGATATGTCTCAAAGTTTGGGGTTAGTTTTGTAATTCGTTTGTAGGTGGCCATGATATTTGGAGTCGTTTGAGTCACGGTGCAGCCGTTTGAGTCGAAGTCGAAGACCTTTCATTTATCGAACTCATATAGTTTTGATTAGTTTTGCAGTCGCTGTGCTTGAAGCCTGCGAGGGCGGGGTGCCAAGCGTATTGCATGGGTATCTGAATATTCAATCCCCACAGTATTGCTTGAGGGTAGGGCTTCGAGGATTGAATCTTCACATGCAGGTGTTGAGGCTTGTGAAGCCTGTGAGTGGTTGAGACTGCAACTTGGTGTTTTCTGGATCTGCGCGTAGGTCAGGTGGTTTGGGCGTGCCTCAGGATGACTGTGGAGGGTCGGGTCACCTCGAGTGTCACCTCTCTCTCCTGGCCACGCTGCTGGAACACGGCAAGGCCTGGATGCAGCCGGTTCTCGAGTGAGTGCAGGTTATCGGGTCACAGCGACCGAAAAGAGAGAAAAGGAGGGCGAGGGGAAAGAAGCGTGCATATAACTTCCTAGTTATGTCTACCCATCTTATACTATGTGATGTTTCTGAAGACAGGTGGAGTTTTGCATGGTGAGATTCTGTCATGTTGTGTCTATGGGAAGGAGGCGCCGAACATATCATTAGCTTTGGGGGGTTGGGGAGGATCTATTGCCAAGCATGATTTGATGCTAGCCTCCACAGTAGCCTGCACCTTCGAGAGGCACTAGACGTTTGATGTGCGCCTTTGGCTCAGCAATCAGCCCACCCTCCACCGTAACTCCTTGGCGGACGGCGGGCGGTTGCTCCTCCACGATATTGCACCTCGGACCGCAAAGGGATGGGCCCAGTTCAAGTTATAGTGGTGTTGCATGTTCAGGAGGGCTTAAACCTGCAAGTTTTATAACATTTAGTAACATTTGAGGAAAGTTAATCGAGCTACCCCACTTCAACCCATGCACGGGTCCACAGTTGTCGAAAGAGAATGACAAGAATGCTTGAGCATGGAGTTCCATGCCCATGTTCAAGGCATGCTACCAAACTGAGTTGAAAGCCAAGGAAAGAAACACTACGAAGGCTTGGGAGCGGCAGCAGACTGTGTGCAAGTCACCGCAAGATGTTGCGGAACGAGAGAGCGGACCTGCAACTTTTGCAGCACGACACGCCGGAACCGGCGAAGCGGCGCCAGGATGTTCAAAACGGTCTTGTTCATTTTCTTGCAGGCAGGTGGTTGCTCTCTTTCAGGTCCCATGAAGCGAAAGAGAGAGAGAGAGAGAATCCTTCGAGATCTTTCGAGTCACTTGTGAATGCTGTCATTATAGGGGTGTGGAGCTGTTGACATACCGTGCAACACGAAACAACCAGAAGCAACCAGGGTTGACTATGTTGACTTGACCCACCCCCCAACCCGATCTCCAGCTTCGCCCTGGACATCCTCGGAAGCGGCCAGGTGGTGGTGTCCCGTCGTTTCTCCGTGCCGCTCTCGCGACAAGTGGTGCCGGTGAAGGTGGGGCATCGAGGGTGCTGAAGTTCATGACCCGGGTTCCGAGACCCCACATTGGAACCTGAAAATGGAGAGACACATGGAACCGGGCGCCGGCACGGACCAGACTGGAAGACGATGTTCCAAAGACCAACCCAGTCAGTGGGTTTTTTAAGGTTTCAGGGTCTCAGAACACGGGTGTTATCGGTGGCAGGCCATCAGCACCTGACGTTGGTCACCGGTTCGGCTAGCCGGGTACCCAACCCGGCTGGGCAGAAACCTTCGAAGGAGGAGATCTGTAGAGTCAGGTGATGGCAGAGCTTCGTGAGGTGTTCAGTTCCAAGAGTTCCAAGGGATGTTCCAAATTTACTTGGACGATGCCGCGAGTGCCTTGTAGGGCATGTTTCAATGGGCCTTGTTGGCGGATTGTTGTTCCGAAAGAACAGGGGGGAGGAACCGCAGAAGCATACTGTATGTACATGTCACGTCTTTTGAGGCGTGAAAGATCTTCAAAGCTTTTTTTGGGGGAAGTTGGTGGCCGAGAGAGGTTAAGTGACCTGAACTAGGACCCTACTGAAATACCCAACGTCTAGGGTTCCTCAACCTCTGTTTGGAGGGTATATATTGAACGCTGGTGGAGTCAATGGAGAATGTCCTGTGCTTCTTTGCTTCGTCCATCACTCACCAAGGGCGAATGGACTAGCCACGCCGACGGAATCCAGTGGCGAGAAGTAGGGCGGGGGAGTTGATGTTGGTCCCAGTTGATGCATCCCCCGAACTCTCCCCGGAGACCAGTGGAACTAGCTGGACCCCTCTTTTTGTCCCTGCAGTGGTGAACCATAGTTCAGTGATGTGAGCCTCTCTTGCTCGGTCGTCGGTGGGACATATTTTGACCTTTGACCATGTGCCTTTGACTTGGAATCCCACGGACTCATACCTTTTCCCGGTCCCCCATAGGGTGTGGCCGGAGATCCATGTAGTAATGTGGACTCGGGTCTTCCAGCTAGAGGACTCTGACAGGAACATCCTGGCATTTTTTTGGAACCCTAGGCCCTAGGGCTCCAATTAGAAGGTGCGACCGGAGCCCTAGGGGAAGCGATATTCACCCACCAACTGGCATGAGCACCGACAAGCCCCATCAGTTCCAGCCAAGCGTCAGGTGAACGGGCAAACGGTCTCGCAGAAGACCGCCTACTACGGAAGCCTGGAAGCCGAGGGAGGGCCGATCGTGGAGTAGGCCTACTCGGTGGCGGGAGTGGTGGCTTGATCCTGATCCTACGGCCTCAGCCTTTTTGATCTTGTTTGGTGTGTGCCACTGGAGCTGCTTGGCTTGAAACTGGCCCATCAGGCGCAACATGAACATGAGTCGACATGCATTTGCAATCATTTGCATAGATGATAGCGTTTGCATGGCCAGCTTGAGATTTCAACAGAAATGCTGCACAAACAGACGACCTGGAACACCCGCAGGCTTCACAGCTCTTTTGACATGTTGTACCTCGTGGGGTATTTACAGGAGAACTGCGAACTGCAAAAGCAAGCTTATAAGATGTAGAGACTGGCCCCCATTGACATGAACATACCGACCCCATGTCTTTTCATCCAATGCATAGCTGGTTTTAGGCGGTTTTCCTCGGCCACCCGAGGTCTTTTCGTCTGCCTGGCCCAGCCTTAGCGCCGCGCTGCGCTCGTGCCAGCGCTGCTCCCCACCGGGTCCCGGTTCACGCGGAGAGTTCGCCAGGTCGGGCACCCGCGACCGCAGAATTTCACCGTGGTCTTCGATACAGGCGCGCCGGTAGGACCGACGGGCCGTAGGACCGACTAGCCGAGCCGACACCGGGCGAATGTGGTCTTCTTCGGATTCGGAAACAGATGGAACGTTTCTGGCAGAAATTGGTTAGGTTGGAATTGCTATTCTATTATGTTTCAATCCGATTCCATGCTTCAACCCCAAGCTCTTTCCGGGACCCAGCGAACCTCCACAGCTCCGACCCGCTCTTGAGCTGGTGTGCTGCTGTTGCTTTGGCCAAACTCAAAGAGAGTTAGAGAATTATGGTTGATGGCTGATGGAAAATGAATGAACATGTCATGCAACTCTGTACCAGGACCCCACCGATTGAATCCAATTGAGACCTCAGACAAGGCTGCCACAACCCTCAAAAAAAGGGACTTGTTGGAGTGTGGAAAATGGTGAAGCCACTGCCACTGCAGAGTGCAGGTGCCAATAGTAATTTTAATATACATATGAAATGAACATGTTAATAGACATACCTGGATCAGCCATCCTGGGTCACCAATAGACTACCCAGCACTCCAGATCCTGGTCTAAGCCAATGAGAAAGGCAGCCAGTTGCAGCAGCACGGCGGCGAACCGCGCTTCGCGCTTCCGTGAAGGGATTCACCCCACGAAATCGGACATGAATCCATCGCCAAGTGGGATGCTCTGGCGCTGACCGAAACTGGCTCGTTGGCTTGGGCACAGCGACTCAGCACAGCAACTCAGCAGTGGATGCCTCAAACCAAGACGATCCAATTGGACGCCCACCAGGTTCCGGCCATCTCTTTCTTCCGGACAAGTCCTGCGAGGCCGGGTTTGTTGGGGGTGAAGATCACCCCCTTGATGGGCTCTATGCTTGGTTGGCCTTTACTGACCAAGCCTTTGAGTCAGTGGATTTGTTTGGTTGGGCTCCTTGACCCATCAGGTGGCCACTGCACTTTCCAGGACCATCCTGTCTAGAGACACCGGACTATCCAGCCTCCCAGCCTACTACTATACTTAGGCATCTCCAGACAGGACACCCAGATGGTCAGATGGTCCAAGTTCATTTTCTTCTTCTAGACCCTTCCCCTCCTCCCTCGCCACTTCTCCCCGGCCAGGATCGCGTGTGCCCCACCCACACCCGCTATGACCGTCAGCAGTCGGCCCGGGAGCCCGAGCGCCTCTTCCCGGCGAGGTGTCGCTCCAGCCGGTCGTCCGCGCCAGGCCTCTGCGGTGGAGATCAATGGCGATGGGAGCCCCACCAAGCAGGAGCAGGGGACCCTAAGCCGGTCATGCGGCTGTAAGGAGCTACCAAAAAGCCACCTTTAGCTACAAGTGAGAACTGAGAGGTTCGACACTGCCCTGACGTTTGTTTGGGTCACCTTCACAGTGATTTAAGGATGATGTTCATCCATGAGCAAGACCAGCTGATTTGCGCAGCACGCGGATGTTTCTATAGGAGGAATTCGAACGATGTTGAATGTTCTTGACTCAGCACATCCAACATCACATCACACATCATAGAACATCATAGAACAGATATATACCCCCCAGGGAAACTTGCTAGCACATCGCACCCCATAACTCCGCATGTTGCCATATGTTGCCCATCTTTACAGCACAAACATCAATCTTTCGGGTGGTGGTCTCTCACAACAACGCTCCACCAGCGGACCACGTTCCACTGAAAACGGCCACACGGAAGCAACACGTTCAACAGTGCAGCCATCAGCTTGACTGAGGCCCGGAAGGTTTGTTTGCCAAGTGTGTGGAAGTAGGACCTCTGGACGTCTTGTGTTGGAGCCGTTGGCAGAATCCCACCACCTACATAACTATTGGGAGGTGAGATGACGTGATTTCACCATCCTCGAACTCACAGTTTCCTCGCCATGGCGTGGACATAGCTGGAGTATCCCCCTTGACAATTCCCTGATGAAATGGGAGACCTTAAGGCCTCTATATATTTGTTTTTAGTGGTGTGTGTTTTTTGTGACCTCAGGCACTCTCATTTTGTGGAGGCACAGATTCAACATAGACATTGGGGAAGGTCAATCTGTAGTATTTTCACTTAACTTTTAATATACGACATATGAAGGTCGTGCAGTTGCATTTTGTAAAGGTCATGAGAATGAAAGTGTAGGGCAGTGCTTGAAGATCCAAATTAAGATCAGGAAGGTCGTGGAGTAAGTTTGTCTATTTGCAGTTTCCTGCCAAGTTTCCTTTTGTTTGGCAAGGAGCCCATGCCAAAATGCAAGAAATGCTGGCCTCAAATCGGTGTTCATTTGGGCCTCTCAAAAGGAATTTTGTGCAAGCATTTCTTGCGTCATGGCCTTCCCTGGCCAAGCAAAAAGGAAATTGCAACTTTTTCCTGTACATTGACTGCGTTAGCCTCCTGCCGCATTTGCTTTTGGCCTCGAATTCCATAGAAGATGTAGCTCCTAGATCTCAGGTGTTTCTTTAAAGTGATTTCAAGACATCATCGCATTTTGTAGAGAATTCGATGTGTGTAGACGATGGTGCAGATACGGAGCTCAAGCTTTGTTTAAGACATTGCATTTTGTATTGAAGTCGTTGGCAAAACCACAAACAACCGGAAGTGAACATTGACCCTATACATGACTCTACAAAATGCAGTGAATACACTGGGAACTCCAAAAGCAAAATAAAAAACGACACAAAAAGAAGTGGAAACACTTGGGTTTACAAAATGCTTGGAGTTTGATGGAATGTGTATTTTTTGTTGTTTCCTGCAGCCAAGAGAGATTCCCTCAATCCCTTTATATTTGCGCTGGGTGCCTCCCGCCGGATTTGCTTTGACCTTCTGGGCAGCAGCATCAGTAGAGAGTGTAGCTCCTGGAGACGAGGTGTGTATAGTTTGGGATTTTGTAGGGGACTAGCCGGCAAAAGAGCCAACGACAAGAAGTGAAAGCGAACGCTACAAAGTAGAATGGATACGCTGCTACCTCTGAGCCTTTCCAAATGTATTGGATTTACAAAATGATTGGACTTCCATGGGGGTTGTCCTTTTTCCTGTAGTCAGAAGAGATTGTCTTTGCCTTTGACTGCACTTTGTGCCTCCTGCCACATTTGCTTTGGCCTTATTGAATTCCATAGAAGATGTAGCTCCTGGAGCTCAGGTGTGTTACTTTTTTTTTGTGAGTTCAAGACATCTTATGTTGTAGAGAATCCGATGGTAAGAACCACTGCAGACAGGAAGTAAAGATGTGCTCTACAAAACGCAGTGGATAAACTGCTACCTCTGAGCCTTCACTGAACCATATGGTACTAGGTGGTTAAACATCTATTCCATGCCGTCCCTGTCATTTTGTAGACTGAAGTGGGTGCTCTCTGATCAATTGAGTCGCATTGTAGAAAACATGACCAGTTCAAAAAGTCCAAATTTCTCAACACAATCTGAACATGGCTGCAGACACGGCAGACAAGACAAAGCACTCAATTTCTAATCTGCTTCGGACCTGAAGTGCTTCGCGCGTTTACTATTTCTGTCCAGCTGCATTATTCCCCGTGGATTTTGTGGTATCTGGATCATCTTTGCTGATCGCCAAGCTCCACTTCCGTATCTTCAGGTTCCTCATTCTATCTTGGAACAGAGCCTCCCCCACTACAATTCAAGAGCGGTGGGGGAAAAATATATGAACGATGTGAATCCACATTTTGTAGTGGTACATTGTGTAAGATAGGACCATGGACAATCATATTGCAGTATTTGTTGTTTTCTTCCCTGTTTTGAGCCTGGGTTGTGCACTTGCGTTTTGTATCTCACACTTTCTCCAGATCCTTCATTTTGTAAAGATTTTGGAGGAAAAAACTACAAATGGTTGCCCAGACCCCTCCATCTCAATATCAAGGGAGATGCCTTTGGTGTTCCACCACCTTCTCTAACGTGCGTGCACCTGTCCGAGGCATGATCTGGTCTCTATCTCCTATGGCATCGGGGAAGTGGTGGGCGACTTCGTCCGGGACGCAGTCGCCTCAGTGGGCCGCAGTCCGGACGTGGGCGAGCCGGCGGCTTCAGGCGGTCGCAACATCCGAGCTTTTCGATCGCAGCTTCGCAGCTTCCTAGTAAGGCCAGGAGCGCCCCTACTAGCGTTCCGATCGCTCCGTTCGAGTCGCGATGCCCTTGGCTACGTTCGTAGGGTTCATGGTGACGTTGATGAGTACTCAAGCTGAGTGAAGGTAAGTGTCAGCATCTCGTGTATCCAGGAAGCAGGTCAGACTGCACAGGCCTGCGCAGCATTTCAGGGTCACACTGGTGGCCGTGGTTGGTGAAGTGGAAGCCTCTCAATTAGAAGTCGGGTGGTTGATGATTGATGAATAAGATCCCCGTGGCATGCAGATTTGAGCCTTCGAATGTCGCTACATCGTTGCCAGCCGTTTCTCAGGTGGTTTGCATTGGTGAGGCTGGTTTGCTGATTCTGGGTGCGTCGCAACATATCGCGAGATCTCTCACCCGAGATGCTAAAATTCGCCCCCCGTTGTGACACACATCCACACACACAGTTTCCACGTTTACACACACATGGAAAGGCGCCTCAGACGACCCTCGACCGGAAACCATCTCATGCCGCCTTCCGCATCACTGTCGCCGCCTTCCGCGACAGGTCAGTGAGCCTCATTGTGCTTCAGCCCGCGTGGTTCTGGTGCCCTGCGAATCCGACGAAAACACGGGCCGCACGGGGCAAGTGGATCTCCGGTTGGTGAACCCGGTCGGAGGTTGATCTCAGAAGATTCTGTTGAGTCTGACTGCGGGGGCTCAGGGTTTGGTTTGGCTTTGGTTAACCATGTTAATTAGATTTAATTAGTTGTTATTAATTATATATATATGCAGATGCATGGATATTCATCTGATTTCGTGAGAATTATAACCTGCCCCGTTTCTACCTGCTCCTCTGTCAATCTTCTCGGTGGGGTCCGACATGGCCCGACTTTGATCGCTAGGTTGAACTCCCAGACTGCGGGCTCACAAGAATCAGAAGAATAGGACCCTCCTTTATTCCCCTGCAGCCACTTGCAGTTCCCCTTTTAAAGATACCACGTTGCTCCATCTCTAGTGTCACAGGTTGCAGCCTCACCCCCAAAAACAAAACCGCGGCCCTGGCAAAATTGGTGCCCATGACCTGCACAGCTACCACAGCTACTCACTACTCTTATGTTGGGCAATGGCAGCCATACATGACCAACCATCAAATAAGTAAAAAACAAAAAAGCAACCGAAAAAAAAAATGAAAATGCAAAAGCAGCGCAATTTGCTTTGTTTTTGCAATTGTTTTGCTTTTTTGTTTTTTCCTGGTACCACTTCTGCACTTATGAGAACATTTACCCCTCAGCAATATTTGCTGTACGCTCCTAGGAAAAAGGTAAAAACGCGAAAACAATGCGAAAACATGCGAACATAAATCGAACAAATACAAAAATCAAGCGACAAAAGTAAGAAACAGACACGGCAAACACGCACAGCTACATGTTCTTACTTTTTTGTTTGCTTTACCCTTGTTTTTTTGCTTTATATAATGATTGTGGTTCCTTGTATCTATGGCTGGCGCGCCCCACTCACTCCACCCAAACCCGCCAGGCGCAGCGGATGACGCCAGAGCCCTTTCAGCAGTTCGACTTCGACGGCGTCTTGGGGCTGGGCCTCCAGGGCTTGGCCTTGAACCCGGAGTTCCACTTCTTCAGCCCGGGCCAGAGTGAAAAAAAAGCACGGACGGACTGGGACCGAATTGGGCAGAGGGGGTGTTGGGTTTGAAGCAGGGGTTGGACTTTCGGGTGGCAAGGCTATAACTCTTAAAAGCATCAGATTTGAGACAAGCTGGCAGGGGGCGTAATTAGGCGACTTTAACTGCACATTTGGTGGATTTGGGACTGGCTACTGGTTGCTTCAAAAAATATCACCGACCAACTGGTTGGTTCCATGCATTTTGTGAACGTTCTGGGCACCGCAAGCATGGTTGGTGGGTGGTTTGGAACATGGTTTATCCCTGTTTGGGACTGGTTGTGAACGGGATTCCATTGGATGCGTTCGATCAACCATCAGGTTTTTGTTGAAGATACCCCATCTTCTCTGGCCAGCCCACTCAGGTCAGCTGGCCAGCAGCATCGAACCCAGCTTCGGCGCGCGCCTGGCGCAGTTGTTCTGCAGCTTTTGAGGGACTGGATGGGATGAAAGGGTGGAGAGGGCCCTGAGAGTCCAGACTACCTTGCAGGTACGGTAAGATGAGTCAGGATTCCCGAACCTGGGAGTTTTCCCAATACTTGTCATGAACATTCATGATTATGGATTGACATCACCCAGCGGCTGCTAAAGACGTTGGGATCCAACACCTCTTTTCTCCCACCAAACTGTTCCACCAAAAACGAAGCGTTTGGTAGTTCTCCGGGCTTCTCCTCAACCCCTCAACCCTTTGGGTGACCGGGTGACCGTCTGCCTGGTTCGCGCACCCGTCTGCCCGGCAGGTCTTTCTGGCGCGTCCAGGGTCGTCGGGCAGTTCGGTGACCTTCGGCGGTCATGATGCGCAGCGGATGCAGAGGCCCTTGGCGTGGGTGTGGAGGCTGAGGTGGTGGGCAAGAGCATGCGAGAGCTGGATGTGGGTGGGTTTGGAGGGGGGAGGATGGAGGATTTAGATGAAAAGGTGGGGAAGATGGGGATGAGGAGGTGGATGAGCCTGAGATGGAGATGGATGGGGTGGATGGATGTGCATGGGGTGGATGGATGTGGATGGTGATGGTCAGAGTGGAGGGGTCAATGGGTTAGCGTGATGAATGCAGTTTAACGTGTGGTGGGCTCCTGCCAAGAAGACTAGTAGTCCAGCCTAGCTTTTCTTGGGGATTGATTTGAGCCAAGATTGTTGCTTTGGTGGAGCCGGCGTCAGAGGGGTTGAAGGAATGGAATAGTTACAGTCCATGGCTAAGAGTCTTCTTTTGGTATAGTGGCCAATGGAGCTCCAGAGTCTTAGGGTTCGAGGAGGATGACATTGCTCCATCTTCAGCTACAGTTTCAAAATGTTTCAAAGGTCAAGAGAGACTCTTGAGGCAGACCCTGAGAACAGAAGAAGTACCCATGATCCAATATCCCTCTATGACATGAGAGGGTCAACCCCCCCACATATTGTGTGTGTCACACGATAGTAACTTAACTAGGTGAAACTAGTAAAATAGGCTCAAGCCTTTGAAATGAATTTATAGGTGTGTAGTTATGACACATTGCAGGTGTTTACACAACAACCAAAACTGGTGTCAATACGTTTGATTTCATAGAGTGGATGGGACGAGGATAGACGAGTTGAAAAGATGGTGGTGTCAGCCCTTTTCACTTCAGAAAGGTCATTAAGTGTTAGTTGCTTGTGATCACTTTTTTAAATATGCTGTTCATGGGTCAAGGCCTGAGATTGTCCGGTTTAGCTTGTAGGGTGGACCCCCCTGAATTTCGGTTTACCGCCCCCAAGTATATCTACAAAATGGCGAGACCTACCCCTCAATTTGGAAACAGAGATGAAGAAGAGGTCTTTGGGAGACTGATGGTAGATGTTTTCGGCCCATACCTCTGCCACGGTCTCGAAAAGGGGATTTCATGCTCGGCCAGCCACCGGTCAGTCACCTCCGCCTTTCCAAGGTCCCGGTCTCCTTGAAGGAGCAGGGCTACTGGGCCGCCAGCGGCCTCAGCTCATCCTGTCGAGACGGGTGGGAGCGCGTCGCACGCAGTTTTCACGAGTCGGGGAAGCCCTGTCCATGTCCTTCGTGTGACGTGTTAAACTGGACGTCAGTGCGGGACTGTTCATGAAGTTCTGCAGCATGAAGAAAAAGCAAGCCCTTGATGTCAATGATTCTCGATGTTGCTGTAGGTCTTGGCCTTTCTTTGGCCGAAATCGCGGAGTGCCAAGACCCCCAACAGGGAAAGCCCCGAGCATCCAATGAAAGCCTATCTCCAATTTGTGGCACTACTTGGAGCTTCTGGGTCAAACCACCCTCCCTGGAATCATAATGGCTACGTTAAGTGACCACCTGTTGGGATCGGATCTTCGATTCTGGTCATCGGAGCCTGACAGGGGCCATGCCATCCCACGGGCCCCATGAGGAGTCCAGCAGCTCTGTACATGACCCACTTTCTCATCTTGGGGCTTATGCGCCACGGATCGAAAGCTCAGTCCAGCCGCAGACCCTGAAGCGGCACGTCGAGGGAAGAGCCGCAGATGGACGTTCCTGAGGTTCGCGTAACAGCCGTGCGTGCGGGAGGGAAGATGCTGCCCCTATGCGAGGAGCTGACATCACACTGGAGAAGGGAAGATGGATGGTTAGCTGACCGTCGTAGTTGAGTCATGGCCTCCAAAATGTGTTTGGACGGCATTAGCGTGAGAAGGGCAGACATGGGCTAAAGTGTTCGTAACCTTTCCCGAATTGATAACCTGCAGCCCCCCCATGAAGCAGGTGCATGTTAGTGGCTTTGGCTGGATGTTGCTTCTTTCTCGTTCCCAAGAACCAACCGACATTTGTCCTATCTTCTCACTGAAAAGGTCAGGATAGCCCATGGGTGTCTAGGGGGCACAGCTGGCTAGCTGCTAGATTTCGCCCCACCAACTGAAGAGGTGCGAAGTAGTTGGAAAAGCCGGGCCTGCCTGGGTGTTGTTCCAAAGATGACTGTAATGGAATGGCGCAGGATGGCACCTGCCATGCCATTGTGGACACTGGGACCTCGCTCTTGGGTGTCCCTCGGCAGGCAGGGCCCCTTCACCGCCGGAGTGAGCATTAGCGGAAAACATCCGCGTGCACCAGAGAGAGAGAGAGAGAGGGATGTTAAGATGGCCTTCTCTCCTCCACCACCACATTGATTTGGCTGACCAAAAGAACGAGATGAAGACTCAAAACATGCAGATATATCATTGGGGCCCTTTAGTAACCTCTTCGTTTGATACCTTCTTTGTCTGATCCACCCACATTCAGGCAGCTATAGAAAACTAAGAAACACTAAGAGTTCTTAAATGTAACTATGTTTGACTCTGCTCAGATCTTCCTTTCACATCAGCTCAACACTTCACAACAGGCTTAACTTGAGACTTCCTTGCCACCATCTCAAGGGGCTTTGCCTGCTGCTCCAGGAAAGCCACCAAAAGCACCATAAGGGCCACCAGCCATGGCATTCATTCCTGGCCTCAACTCTCAATGAGATTGACTGGCAGTTGAGTGGGCTCCACAAGCACCACATAACCTACACCTCTTCACCTGACTCTCACACATCACTAGTGCAACCTGAGGACCTTTGCATCCAAGGTGGCATCCAGGGTGGCATCATCCCATAATTGGGATCCAAGCCCTCACCTACCCTGACCTTCTTTGAACGAGGCATCTTCAGGTCTTGATGGCAAAAAAAGGGCTGCACAACAAACCCAGCAAGTGGAGCCAAGCAAGCAACCCACCAAGCCACTCTGGTTGGTTTCTGACTTCAGAAAATCTTAGATTTTCTTAGGCCTGTTTTTTGGCCAAAGAATATATCAAAATGAAGACCATACTAAAGAGCTTCTAAGAATATATACCAGGACACCCTAAGGGGTGTCTATTGATAGCCCCCCTTAGAGGTGATTCGGGGTGTCCATTCACCACCCCGACAGTGGGTCCTAGTACTTCGTATTTCTTCTACAGCAGTTCTTAAAGCTTTTGGGGCCCGAGTCTCTCGCCCTGCTTCACCTATAGGCGCCGAACGCTCGCCGGAGGCGATGGCCTCGCTCTTGGCCGCGACGGCGCAGAAGGTGGAGGCCATGGAGGCCGTGAGGGTGCCAGTGGTGCAGATGAGGGCATCAGTGGTGAGGGCGCTAGTGGTGCCTTTACTTGGGGATGATTGAACCCACTGACATATGTTTCAAGTGAGTTGAAACCACCCACGCCGTGACCGCCGTTTCATGTAGACCTATGAAGAGGTTGTACATGGTTTTACAATCCAATGAGGTAGTTCGTTAAGAGCCGAGATTGATGCATGTTACTTCCTGGAAACCATACACAAAACCACTCAATGAGGTAAAGTACCTGGTTTTAACTGGGTCTTGGGACCTGTAGGGCTATTTCTTTGTCCTCTGCTCCTTTCATCCAAGAACTAGAGTTGATTTCAATTAAAGGCACGTCCACTCGCCGGACGCAGAAAGGTGATATGCGGAAGGGATTGGGCTCTTTGCCTTTCAACTGTGCCAAAATATGGACAAAAATTCTGCCAGTGAAGATATTGACAGTGGCATTCCCGGAATGAACTCAATGAACTTCTGCCCCCCGCCCCCCCGCGGCATGAAGCAAATCATCCATACTCATCCCAAATCCCCACAATTTGATGCAGGGGAGAGAGAGAGAGAGAGAGAGCGAGCGCAAACACAACGTCGGAGCGGCACCGCCCGGGGCGAGGATTGTGGCTCCTTGGTGGGTCCCGCCTTGACCTTTGAGCTGGCTTTGCCCTTAGCACCTCCGAGAGCACGTCGCTTTGGTCATACGCGGTTCTCGCACATAACCGAAACGCTGGTCAAAGCCGTGACCCCCCAGGTCACCATGCCCCTTTGGTGGTTCTATTCGGTTCTTTTGGTGGTCAGCCCGGGTTGTGTTAGGCGCCATGGATGTTGATCTACAATAACCACATTCTGGATGAGGTAAGATCGGTGGATGTCATGGCCTCATGAGCGTTGCAAGTCATGACAGTGAGTGGGTCGGGGGATGACCTATGTTGAGACCATGTGGATCCGAATCCAGGACAGCGAGATCCTCAGGGCTCTCGTCAGGGCTCTCGTTGGTGTTTGTTTGACATCGATCTCGTTTGAGATCTACTGTATACCTAGAACCTCATTAGGCAATAGGCAGACACTTCTGCCCAAGAAGAGGTTCTACCAGCACCCTCCAACAGGTCACTACCTGCGACTTTTAAGTTTCAAAAGCCACCGCACAAGACCTGTTAGAGGGTCCTGGTAGGTATTTGTTAAATATGTGTGGCTGATTGACGTGGTGTGCCCGGTTCAAAACATCAAACACCGTTTCCCTATCAAAGATGCCCTGCGACCAGTGTGCCATTCCAGATGCCAAGCGCACACTGCAATATAACTCCGAGAAACCTTCGAACCTGATCAGTGGCACATGTGCGCTGAAGGGTTCACCTCAGCAGCAGGCCCAGGTCGTTGATCTCCTAAACCAGGACCTGTACAGACCTGTACAGACCCCAAAACTTACAGATATCAGATGAGTTCCGACCCCCGCAAAAAAGTATCCAAATACCTATATATATATAAGAAGAGATGAGATGAGTCAGTTGTAATATCCATCCATTCCTTCTCTCCATCGCCCTCCCTCCCTTTGTGGCCGCCACTCGGTTGGCCAGCGTCACCCCAGGAGAGCGGTGCCAGCGTCACCCTGGAGTCGCAGGACTACTGGAGACCAGCACCGCCAGGGGGCCCGAGCATCCAGGTCTTTCCGGGTCCTATTGATCGCTATTGATGGTCACTGAACCGAGCGAACGGGTATTTGTGTGGTTTTAGGAATGCGGAGGATTTCTTTGGAGCGATGCCCCAGATAGACTGGATGTCCCAATAGCTTGTCTTGTTCCCTTCATGTGCATTTATGATATATAATATGGATTGCTCATTGTGGTGTGTGGTACAGCCGGGTTTGACCCGCTCACGTGCCCCTGCCTGTGTGAGCACGTGTGTTCTTAGGGGCCATTTGCACCGGAGGAGGCCCATTGAAACAAGATGCCTGGAAGTGTAGACGATCATTAGTCTGTCTACATTGTACATATATAGGTTTCCGATAGGTTTGCAAGTAGTTCAAGTTCCCTGGCGTGGAGGGACACGAGCAGGCAGGAATGCGATGATCTTGTTAACCTCGTTGCAACTTCCAGACATGACATGAGCATTCTTCTTTATCAGGCTCGAACCAGGAGGGCAGTATCGGTGTGTATGACACATACGACCCATCAAGACTCCAAATGAAAGCCACACACCACCTAAAATTGAACTTCTACATTCTACTGTGCCTTCTCTTCACCTCTCTAGCTGTGATTCCTGCCATGCCCCGCTCCTCCAGCCGCAGCCGTGGCCGGCGGAGCCCCCCGCGGCGCCGCGACAGCCGCCGCCGCAGCCCCCCACGGCGCCGCAGCCCACCGCGGCGCCGCAGTCCACCGCGCCGGAGCCGCAGCCGACGGCGCAGCCCGCCGCGGCGTAGCCCTCCGCGGCGTAGCCCTCCGCGGCGCACGTCTCCGCGGCGTGGGTCGTCCGAGCGGCGGTCCTTTTCACCGGAGTGGCGGAAGAAGGAGTGGGGATGATGTGGTGGATCTGGTGGCCACGGATGGTTTTGACCATGTTTTGACCCCGTGTCAATGGAGGCTTTGTGAAGAGGTCACTTAGCTTGAAGCGCATGGCGTGGGTATCGTGGGTAGTTGGATTGATGTCGACGATTTCGATGTGTCTCAAGTGGTGGCCCGGCACTTCGCTCCGCTGCGCTGTTCCTGCGTCCTGTTCCATCCTCCGCCAAGGCCCGATGAATCCCAATTTCCACACTTCCATACCCAAACGCTCCTTGTATGGCATATTTACTCTCCCTGGAATTAACATGGAAGTGGAAAACCATGGAAAACCACCTGTTTGTAGTGGAAAATAGTCTTCCAAGGGGCCATTCTCCACTTCCATGTGAGTTCCAGGGGGCATAGGTATCAAAAAAAAAGAGCATAAAAATAAAAATAAAAACAGGATCAAACAAAAATGCCGCGTTGCCATTGTACGTATAGTGCGTTGGCAGCAGTTAGAATATGGTTTTAGTGAATTCTAACTGCTGCCAACTCACTATATAGTGCTTACATTGGGTGTTGTCATTGCGTGTTGTCAGTGTCAATACACGCGCCGTTGGGCTGGGCTGTTCTGCGTCGATGCATGAGTGGGTTGTCCGGACCTATCCAGCGACCTCGACCGGCGCAAAGACAGGGACACCATGGGACACCGGGACACCTGCAATATGTGGGTCAACACCCTGAAGCTTGCTCTATAGCATGTAGCTTGACCTCCCAGTATCAAGTGTAGTGTTCAGGCCGAAATCATCGGGCACTTGGTCACGACCCCCAATGTCGACCATCCGCTAGGTAGACGTTCAAACCACATGTCTTGCAGGTGTTTTAGAGATGCTAACTCCATGTAACTCCTGACATGGACCTACTTTCGGAGCTCCAACATGCTCCAACCCCTGTATGATCTACCCAATCTCCACATGAAGCTGCTGGAGCCGCTCTCCATCGGAAGCTAATAAAAAGCGAATCAACAAAAAAATCCTTGATAGGCCTCTTCTGCTGCTCTCCTGGCCTTGTGGTCTGCGGGTCCTCTGGTAATGTGGTCCTTTGGTCCCTTGGTCCTCTGGTCCACTGGTCCTTTGAACCCCTGGTCCCTTGGTCCTTTAGTCCACTGGTCCCCTAGTCCTCCGGTCTCCTGGTCCTCTGGTCCTGTGGTCCGCTGGTCCCCTGGTATCCTAGTCCTTCTGTCTCCTGGTCCGCTGGTCTTTTGCTCTCCTACGGCGCTCGTCTGTCGATCTCCTGGTCCCCTGCTTGCGCAAATAGAGGCTTGATTGCTTTCTACTAGAGGCAGCTCCCTGGGAAGAAAGTAGGTACCCAACGATAAGGTTGCCGTCCAGTCATTGAGTAGCCCTACTCGAAAAATGGTTCACCAGTGGAAATAGCTCCCTACTAGGAGGGAGCTCCTGGGGAGGTACACTCTCCTCTACTACCCCAACCATCCTCAGTGGGCTAGAATATTTATTTTTTGATTACCTTTTTTTTTTTTAATTGATCCCCGTTGAATATGTTTTTTGATTCTATTTTTTTTATTTTGATCCCTTACCCGTTCCAGTCAATGCGATTGGACACCAAAAAAAACAGTCCCATGGAGCGTTTGGGATACATTCCAACTCCAGGAGGCCAAGAAGGAGCCCCAGGCGCAGGAGTCCGAGAAGGTGGAGACCGCCGAGGGCTCCGAGGAGATCTCCATGGGCGTGGTCGACGGCATCCCCCGCAGCAGCGGCGAAGCCACCTACCGCGCCGAGGTCTGAGTCGGGCTGGGCTGAACGCAGCAGGTGAGAGGAATTGGCTCATGTTTTTGTTGGTTTCATCCTTCCTCCTTCAGCGTTTTCGAGGTTCAACTTGAAATGTTCGGAGGATAGTGTTCAGTAAGTTTCGGTTGGTGGTGTTCGGAGTAGTGTTCGGTTGGACAGAGGATGAAGATGTTTGTTCTACTCAAAATTACTCAATAATGCCATGTCCGTTGCTTCGCGGCCTCTGTGATGCAACTAGTTGGTCCGGAGTCCGCAAGTTCTTGCACCTCAGGCGGTGCCGATGAGTGAGTGCAAATCCAGTACTCTCTCACTTACTTGCTCGGTGAATGCAGGCAACGCTTTATGGATTTTTACTTGCAGTTTCGTGCTTCTGGTGATGACGCATACACAAGTTGGACCATATGCGTCCGTTCACGTCGCCGGATGATCCAAAGAGAGAACGCCCCTTTCATTCTCGCCCTCTCTCTCCCGCAGGTGAACGTGCCCCGCGAGAACGGAGGTGCTGGACCCTTGGGGAAGCGAGGTCTCACAGCGGTCCGTGGGCCGAACCGGATCCTTGGCCGGTTGTGGGCTGGGCGTGACGGGTACCTCGGTTTGGCACGAGGGAGCGAGGCATATGGCGCCAACCACTGGAACGGTTTGGGTCATTGGATCAATTTAAGGGCAGATGGCGCCAACAAATCTAACAAACATAAAGAGAAGGGGTCCTTGGCCTCTTCAGGCGTGGGTCGTCCGAACCGGAGGTCCCGGACGGGACGTGGGTGGCCGGTTTCATGGCACGTGCCGTCCATGAGAGGCGCAAAAAGTGAGGCTCCAACAACTGGAACGTTTGGGGTGGATCGGTGGATCTTGATGAAAAGGGGATGATGTGCCAACCAGCAGAAAGAGAATGCAAAGACAATGGAAACTGTAGGAGCTCCAATTCTGCTCGGTTTTGATTGTTGAATTCCCTGACAGATAACTCGGACACCGATGGCTGAAAACAATGATGTCGCAGGTTGCAGATGTCGCAGGGATTTGATCAGGCATTGCAGTCAGAGCATTTCATCCTTTTGGCTCGTTTTATATAGGGATCCAGGGCCCTTGATTCATTCTGGGAGGGAGGCTTTGGGTATGTTTGGGTTTAAGGTCTGGAGTTCGGGTTCAACAGCGGATCCATCCGACCCGGGCGGTTTCCGCGGGGCGCGCGGGAAAGCGCCGTCGGACCGATGGGTGCGGATGTCCAGGATCGATCGACAGAAAGCGCAGGAAGACGTGAGGACTTTAGTGGATCCTCGGCCGTAGATCGGGAGGGTCAGGGAGGGGCAAAGATCGGGTTCAGAGGTAGCTGATTGGACCATCCAAAAGCTGTGCTTGAGCATGTTCCTTCTTCTTTGTAAGCTTAGGGACCGGCCAATTGGTGGCAACACGTCTACCAACGTCTACCGGAACAAAACGGCATTGAGCTCGGTCTACATCTTAAAACGGGTGGGAAGGGTGAACACATACACTTTCTGAAAGAATCGTTGGACTGGAAAACCTAGTTGTTGTTTTTTTTCTTGGCCGCAAGGATCCCCATGTTCAGAACGGTGATCGGTTACCAATCAATTTCGTGTTCCAGCTGGGTGTAGGGTGTGGTCCACCAACTGTGGATGCACTACTTGTGCTTGGGTGTTTGGTGCTCATTCCTATCTCATTCCTTTGCCACCTTTGATTGACTGCTGGGGCCAGTTCCCCACGTAGCCTGAAGCCAGTTCCTAAGGATGCTTACAAACGAGGAGGACGGGAGGGTTGGGTCGATGATGCTCTACAAAACGTGCCACAACTGAATGGAGGTGAAGGATCCAACGGATTCAACAGATCCAACAGACCCTGGCCGACATGTGGGTGCACAATGGGGCTCGGACCAAGTAACTTATCCCAAAATCAATCAACGTGCTATTCACCCATAGCTCTCGACACACTCCTTATCCTTGAAGATCAACTTCGACGGTAAGATCATCTTGGCGGGTACCAGCTGCTTTCGCAAGATCATGTACCTCGTTAACATGGACCCTGAGTCCAGCACTGGTGCAGCTAGAGGAAACCAACCCGCCTGCCATTCGGGTGCTCAAACAATGCTACTCAAACCACCAGGGTCCATGTTTTCGTGTTCGTGTTCGTTTTGCACCTAGACGATGCAGCCCCCACCTGGCACCTGGCATATCATGTTCCCATCCTTGGCAGCTTAGAGTAGACCCATCGTTCCATGAGACTGAGTTGACATCGCACCAAACCCGGTCTCCGAAATGGGTTGGTCTCGGTGAGGCCCTGTTGCAGGTCTCGGTGACCTGGTTTCAGTCGGTGCTGGTTGGTCTGACCCAATGACACCTCCATGGTGAGACTCAGTCCCATTCCTTTTGGGCGACCGTGTGGACCCGGCCCCGAGCCTCGCGGCGCACGCGAGTTCCTGGTGTGTGACGCCGCGTCAGAGGGGCGTTTGGAGTGTTTTCAGGACCTGTAGAGCTGAGGAAAAGGCAGAAGGAGTTGAACCGATCGTGGGTGAATTAAGGCGGCGTCAGGGTGGCCCCCCCCGTGGTGGTCAAGGCAGGGCCCTGAAGAAAGGATCAGACATGTCAGCAGATCCCCTGTTGAAGATGTGAAGAGGGCGAAGACCTATCAAGGACCTAAGGTCGCACCCACCTGATAGCTGATACTCGTAGTAACAACTTGGTGGTTTACTACAGTTGACAGGTTTTTGGAACTTGTGGCATGGGGGGCCAGTTCCCAGCCTGGTCGTAGAGTGATATGACGTGCACATATTTCGGCCAACTGTGTCACTTCGCGCGGACGAGAAGAAAGAATTGGAAGGGTGGCAGTGGTTGGTTTGGGTTTGGGCGTGCCCTTCTCCTAGGCCATACTCCCAAACAGCTGGAGAGGCCCCCCAAACGGCTCACCATTTAGATTGTCGGCTTTGGAAGAGCGTGGAAGAGGGTGACTCGTGGGAGGATGCTGCTGGAGAGAAGTCCACGTTTGGTGATCCTGAAAACCCTACAGCTACTGTACAAAATTGCATTGTGGACTGTGTGCGTTTTCTGTATATTCACGGACTTTATTGTTTATATATTGACATTTCACTGCCAAGGAAGAATGGAAGACAAGTAGACAAGTCTGCTTTCCCAGCTTGGTGACATGGTGGTAGTGGCTGTTTTCGCGGAGTTCTCCCGTAGCCATTGCCAAGATGCCTTTCTGCTGAGTTCCAACCCTACAGTTCTTCTTTATGACCAACACAAATTGAAAAAAACCCTCCAGTAGGCCCTATAGACTATCCGGTACCCCATAGGTACGGGTCCTAGTATGTGCTATAGTCACGTATACCCTCCCCTCAAATCACACCCGTCGCCCGCGCTCACATCGCCCACTTTCTAAGGACCGAAGTGAAGAGTGGGACGAAACGATCCTTGCTGTGTCGGGCCTTGTTCCTGCCCGTCCGGGACACCCGGGACACCCGGGAGCGCGAGACTCTCGCATCGTGAAACGAAGAAGACGACGGGCTGTGGGTCAAAAGGAAGCACCCGGGCCCGGTACCCTCTTGTTCTGGTCGCTGGTGGTGGCTTTTGGAACATAACCCGGCTTTCACAGTTGCATATTTTGACATGTTGTGGGTTTGGCCACGAGGAGACCCCATCAACAGCAGGGTATTTGTGTATTTGTCCAGGTTCGTGGAGTAGAGCTGGGCTGCGCCAGGCCTTGGCGTATAAGTTTCCAATATAAGATATCACGAAAGGTAGCCCTTTAGGGGATACCTTGAGTTTGTCTTGCGAAGCAAGTGTTGGGACGTCCGGGTCTAATAATTGATCGCTCAATTCAGACCCCCCCCACCCCCCTGAAATGTAGAGGCCTACTTGTACAGGTTCCACTCCAGTGGCCTATCTAGTGTGTCCATGCTTGACTGCCATAAGGCTCAAGACGCTAAGAGGATAAGACTCTGCGCATAAAAGACACTAGCGGTCTGCACCTCAACCGTGTACGCCCTAGTCACTCTTTCAGTGGTAGCGGAGCAGTGATCCTGGAAGACCCAGGTGAGCTCCCTTCCTAGGCATAGAATTGCTTGTGGGCAAACGGCCATGGATTGGATTGACGACTGGGAAGAGCCTGATGCGGATGTGGCTTATGAGCCAGCAGCCTACGTGAATAGGCATGTGAGAAGAGAACCAGCAGCTATAGCAATGACAACACAGGTCACTACAAAGGTGCCCCCATCTTATGATGGAAAGACTTCATGGTTTTCCTATGAGGATGCCATAGACGATTGGTGTGATATCACCGAGCTGGAGGATGAGAAGAGAGGACCAGCATTGAGGAACAGATTAGAAGGAGAAGCAGCTGTATACAAACGTATATTAGACAGAGATGCATTGAAGGCGAATGATCCACCAGGAGCAGGAGTAGAATACTTCAAACGAGTACTACGTCCATATTTTGTGAAAGGATCCACCAATGTATTCCTGTATAGGTTTATGCAATTCGTGCGCTTCAATCGCGGATCAGCTGATATGATGAAATGGATGACAAGATTTCAGATCCTACTCCAAAGGCTTATGAGCAGTTGGATGGACATGTTGGATCCAGTAACACAAGTACATCCTCAGGTACAAGCTCAGATGCAAGCAGATGCAGCGATGACTGGAGTAGCTCCAACAGCAGAAAGAATTCAGGAAATCATGCAGAATGTCAATGGCAATATGAGAATTCTTCATCAGAACGATTTTCCTTTAGGAGAGAATCTCATTGCCTTACTCATGCTGTCACTTGCGGATTTGTCTCAGGACCAGAGGAACACTTTGACCTCCTTGATGACCCATCGTGGTAGAGTCCTGCAGCAATACACGACAATAGAGTTGAGGACAGTCTTCATTGAGATGTTCTGCACAACAAAGACTTCAGTAGACAATCCTCTGATGCAGCCAACAGGTGCTGGAGGTAGAAGATCATTTCTCGTACTAGACGAAGGAGAACTCGATGGTACATATGGCTATTGGGCCGAAGATGAAGAAGATGGAACAGAAGGATTCCTAGATGCCCTAGACGATGTCTTTTGGGTATATGATGAACAGAATTTCTCTTGGTTCCAGAGGAGATTCCAAGGAAGAAGAGCCAGAAAAGGCAAAGGAAGATCAGGCCGCAGATTTTTCAGACCTCGAGGAAAAGGAAAAGGAAAGAGACGAGGTAAAGGCCATTATGCTGATGAGCAATCAACAACTTATCCAGATGAGTATTTTGAAGAGAATCCTTATGAGGACACTTGGGAGTCAAACCAAGTAGCATATGATGCTATTCTTGCCGAAGATATGAATGACTATCTTCAAGGAGAATATGAAGATGCCAATGACTTTTGGCAACAGCTTGAAGAAGCATGGTTTTCCCACAAAGGAAAAGGAAAAGGCAAGAGAAAAGGCAAGAAAGGAAAAGGAAAAGATAAAGGAGATGGCAAACAAGATGCAAACTATGCAAATCAACAACAGCCACGTTCTTTACCTGCACCTTCGAGAACTTCACAAGCATCAGGAAGCAACCAAGGTTTCTTTGCGCATTGTGTGATAACAGCAGCTGAAGTCCATGACAGTGAGGTGGACTTGCTGTCAGGCATGATGACCTCATGTCAAGATGAAGCTGACTGTAAGGTCAACAATGGTGAGACGATCTTCGATGACATGAGTGCCCTTGTGAGGTACTCTTTGTCAGAGGAGATGCTCACAGATGCTCCTGATGGCTTTGCGCTTATGAGCGCTGAGGAAGAAGTGAAAGAGATGCAGGCTATTTCATTTTTGACTGAGAATCGCTTCCCGCCAACTATTGCAATCCTGGACATTGGATGCACTAGAGCTATGGGATCAAGGCGTGCAGTCGATTATTTTTGTAACTATGTCGACAATCATCCAGACTGTGGACTATGGTACTCTTTTGAGTCCACCAAGAGCAAATTTTACTTTGCCAATTCTCAGAAGGCTTCTTGCTCTCAGAAACTGGTGATTTACATGTATGATCGTGCATGGACGATCCACCATACAGAGTTCGACATAGTTGAAGAAGGAGAAGTCCCTTTGCTTATGAGCTTGCCACAGCTGAGAAACTTAGGCTTTGAACTCAGGCTGACACCTCAACATGCTTATCTGACATCGGTGCCTCTTGGTATCAAGTTTTTGGAGTTGAAGGTTGCAGCCAGTACTCATCTTGTTTTGGACTTCCAAGATATTGCATGGTATCTGTCTGACGTGCGTTTGCAGGCTCGGCGCGAGAAGAGCTTTTACTCTCACTTCACTCACTATGAATATGGCCATATTTCGGTTGATCACAATAGTGATGAAGATGAAGCTGAGCATGCATATCCTGTGGTTGACTACTGGGAAGTAGATCTTCACAAGAGAGAACTGACACGTCACCACAAGGATTACCGGAAGATTCTTTTCCCAGCAACTAAGTCATGTCCTGTAGACACTGACTTGCTGGAAGACTTGCGACTGACAATCATCAAGAAGAAAGAAGGTGGAGAAGAGATCAAGAAGATAGATGATTGGCGCAAGGCAAAATGGAAGGACCTACAAATTGGCTATGAATGGCGTGGTAGAACAATTTTTAAGTTCAAGCCAGATGCCAAAATTCCAGATCTAAAGATCAGGAAGGCTGGCATTGAGCACCGTGGCATTGGTGATCCCGATGCAGTGGTGCGCTCCTCCTCAGAGAAGGTTCCCATTGCAAAGGACAGGGAACCAGGCTTCTCTTCAGAGAAGGAAGGTGCACCATCCAGTGCCGCGGAAAAGCCCGTGCCGCCAAAGTTTCGGTATACTTCCAAGGGTTATGATCCATTTTGGAAGGGACACAAGTTGAAACCATCTGAGCCCTCACATGATTTAAAGGGTGATGATCTTGAGGAGTATACTCCCTCAGAACCACCTGAGAGGCCAGAAGGTGAACTTGTAGAAATTCCTAAAGCATCAAAAGGACCATCAAGTGATAAATATGAACCACTTGAACCAGGTGATGGCGCTCTCAATCCCATTACCTGGTAGTGAAATTGTTGCAATGACACCGGCATATAGGAAGATGTTGCAGAGACTGGAGGACAAGGTAGAGCTTTATAAGCTTCATGTGAAGCACTACCATATGAGTCCTACTCAGTTTCGTAGACGTGTTTCTATGTTGAAGCTTCCTGACTCTGTTTTAGAGAAGTATGAATCAGTTGTCAGGAACTGCCGTGTTTGTAACACTTCAGTGGCACCTCCGCCACGAGCCAGAGTCTCCGGTATTAGAGCTTCATGTTTTGGTGATGTTGTTTTTGCTGATCATTGTGAGGTTGAACTTCACAAGAACAAGTATATCATTCTACTTGTTCTTGATGGTGCCACAAATCTTCTCTGGGCTACGGCACAGAAAGACCTCATAGATCAAACCACCATCCAAGCATTGAGGCAATGGTCTGATGAGAACGATTGTGTTCCGAAGGCCATCGTAGGAGACAAAGCCTTTTTCAAAGATGCTTTTGTTGAATACTACAGGTTTCATGGTATACAACAATGTCCTTGTGGGCCAAGAACTCCTTGGCCGAACCGAGCAGAGACAGCTGTACGTTTGTTCAAACGTATGTGGCATGTTATGAAGGTAGATCTGGATGACCCACGTTTTCGTGGTGTTACGGTCAGAGAAGTGGTCAAGAAAGTAGTGTGGGCAAGAAATTGTCAGTTGACTATCAGTGGATATTCACCAATAGAGATAGCAACTGGAAGACGTCCACCAGATCTTTTTGACCTTGAGACCGCAAGCCCTGAGCAATTGTCAGCTAGTGCAGCCGCACAAGATCGTACAAATCTGGAACTACAACGTGTAGCTTTGAGAGCTCATCAAGAAGCACGACAAGCTCAGGACCTTCGAGCAGATCTTGCAAGAAGGACTATGCCAAGTGACGGTCCTTATTTTCAAGGAGAGAAGGTTTTTATTTGGACTCAGGATTCATCAAAGTTCAAGGATAAAGGACGTTGGGTTCGTGCCACAGTACTTGGACAAGAAGGAGCTATGGTCCAAGCCAACACTGGTAAGACAGTGGTACGTGTGAATCAGTCGAAGGTTAGACGTGATCACGATGAGTGGCATGATGTTTCCATACCGGCATTAGACGATGAGAATCCGGAGAACTTACGTGAAGATCACGAACTGTATGTTGATGCCGAATTTGGAGAACAGTCCTTTTTCTTTTGTAATGATGATCATCCTGATGTTGTTGAGTTACTTCATGGAAACAGTGGATTATCTTGGTTCCTTTCAAAGAATGGTGTTAGAGTTGCATCTCCTATGGATTTCAAGGCAGGATACAACTTTTCCACCTTGAAGGGTCAAGATGCTATTTGGCAGCAACTTGAGAGATTGCAGCCCCACTGTGTAGTGATTAACAACTCTTCTCCCAAACAGAACAGAGCTTCTATTTGGTTGCTAT